GAGATGAGGAGGTGGTTCTGAATGGACCAAGAGAGAAGGAGAGTCTGGTTCTGGATGGACCCAGAGAGGAAGAGGTTCTGGTTCTGAACGGACCCAGAGATGAGGGGGTTCTGGTTCTGTATTGACCCAGCAAGGAAGAGGACGTTCTGGTTCTGAATGCATCCAGGGAGGACAAGGTTCTGGTTCTGAACGGACACTGAAAGGAGGTTCACGTTCTGAGCTGACCCAGAGAGGATGAGGTTCTGGATCTGAACGGACCAAGAGAGAAACAGGTTCTGGTTCTGAACAGACCCAGAGAGGAGGCAGTGGTTCTGAACTAATCCAGAAAGAAGGTTATTCTGGTTCTGAACAGGCCTAGAGAGGAAGGGGTGCTTCTGAATGGACCCAGAGAGGAAGAGTTTCTGGTGCTGAATGGACCTAGGGAGGAAGAGGCTCTGGTTCTGAACAGACCCAAAGAGGAGGAGTTTCAAATTCTGAACTGACCCGGAGAGGAAAAGGTTCTGGATCTGAACGGACCCAGCGATGAGGAAGTTCAGGTTCTGACTGGTCCAAGAGAGGAATAGTTTCTGGTTCTGAATGGATCCAGAGAGTGGGAGGTTATATATCTGAAAGGACCCAGAGATGAGGAGGTGGTTCTGAATGGACCAAGAGAGAAGGAGAGTCTGGTTCTGGATGGACCCAGAGAGGAAGAGGTTCTGGTTCTGAATGGACCCAGAGATGAGGGGGTTCTGGTTCTGTATTGACCCAGCAAGGAAGAGGACGTTCTGGTTCTGAATGCATCCAGGGAGGACAAGGTTCTGGTTCTGAACGGACACTGAAAGGAGGTTCACGTTCTGAGCTGACCCAGAGAGGATGAGGTTCTGGATCTGAACGGACCAAGAGAGAAACAGGTTCTGGTTCTGAACAGACCCAGAGAGGAGGCAGTGGTTCTGAACTAATCCAGAAAGAAGGTTATTCTGGTTCTGAACAGACCTAGAGAGGAAGGGGTGCTTCTGAATGGACCTAGAGAGGAAGAGTTTCTGTTTCTGAATGCACCCAGAGAGAAGGAAGTTCTTGTTCTGAACGGACCCAGAGATGAGGAGGTGGTTCTGAATGGACCAAGAGCAGAAGAGGTTCTGGTTCTGAACGGACCCAGAGAGAAGGAGATTTTGGTTCTAAATGGACCCAGAGATTAGGACATTCTGGTTCTGAACTGACCCAGAGAGGAAGAGGTTCTGGATCTGAATGGACCAAGAGAGGAGGAGTTTCTAGTTCTGAATGGATCCAGAGAGTGGGAGGTTATAGATCTGAACGGACCCAGAGATGAGGAGGTGGTTCTGAATGGACCAAGAGAGGAAGAGGTTGTGGTTCTGAATGAACCCAGAGATGAGGGGTAGGTTCTGAATGGACCAAGAGAGGAAGAGATTCTGGTTCTGAACGAACCCAGAGATGAGGAGGTGGTTCTGAATGGACCAAGAGAGGGAGAGGTTCTGGATCTGAACGGACCCAGCGATGAGGAGGTTCAGGTTCTGACTGGACCAAGAGAGGAGGAGTTTGTGGTTCTGAATTGACCTAGAGAGGAAGAGTTTCTGGTTCTGAATGGATCCAGAGAGTGGGAGGTTATAGATCTGAACGGACCAATAGAGGAAAAGGTTCTGATTCTCAACGGACCCAGAGTGGAGAAGTTCCTAGTTCTGAACGGACTGACAGAGAAGAGGTTCTGGTTCTGAACGGACCAAGAGAGGAGGATGTTCTTGTTCTAAACCGACACAGATAGGAAGAGGTTCTGGTTCTGAATGGACCCAGAGAGGAAGGGCTTCTGGATCTGAATGGACCCAGAGATGAGTAGGTTCTGGTTCTGAACCGACACAGAGAGGAAGAGGTTCTGGTTCTCAACGGACCCAGAGAGGAAGAGGTTCTAGTTTTGGAAGGACCTTGAGAGGAGGAGGTGGTTCTGAATGGACCCAAAGAGTAAGAGTTTTGGGTTCTGAACTGACCCAGACAGAACTAGATTCTGGTTCTGAATGGACCCAGAGAGGAAGACGTTCTGGTAATGAATGAACCCTGAAAGGAGGAGGTGGTTATTAATAGACCCACAGAGGAAGAGTTTCTGGTTCTGAACGGACCCAGAGATGAGGAGATTTAGGTTATGACTAGACCAAGAGAGGAGGAGTTTGTGGTTTTGAACAGACCCAGAGAAAAGAGGAGTCTGGTTCTGGATGGACCCAGAGAGGAAGAGGTTCTGGTTCTGAACGGACTCAGAGATGAGGGGGTTCTGGTTCTGTATTGACCCAGCAAGGAAGAGGACGTTCTGGTTCTGAATGCATCCAGGGAGGACGAGGTTCTGGTTCTGAACGGACACTGAAAGGAGGTTCACGTTCTGAGCTGACCCAGAGAGGATGAGGTTCTGGATCTGAACGGACCAAGAGAGAAACCGGTTCTGGTTCTGAACAGACCCAGAGAGGAGGCAGTGGTTCTGAACTAATCCAGAAAGAAGGTTATTCTGGTTCTGAACAGGCCTAGAGAGGAAGAGTTTCTGTTTCTGAATGCAGAAAGAAGGACGTTCTTGTTCTGAACGGACCCAGCGATGAGGAGGTGGTTCTGAATGGACCAAGAGAGAAGGAGAGTCTGGTTCTGGATGGACCCAGAGAGGAAGAGGTTCTGGTTCTGAACGGACCCAGAGATGAGGGGGTTCTGGTTCTGTATTGACCCAGCAAGGAAGAGGACGTTCTGGTTCTGAATGCATCCACGGAGGACGAGGTTCTGGTTCTGAACGGACACTGAAAGGAGGTTCACATTCTGAGATGACCCAGAGAGGATGAGGTTCTGGATCTGAACGGACCAAGAGAGAAACAGGTTCTGGTTCTGAACAGACCCAGAAAGAAGGTTATTCTGGTTCTGAACAGACCTAGAGAGGAAGAGTTTCTGTTTCTGAATGCACCCAGAGAGAAGGACGTTCTTGTTCTGAACGGACCCAGCAATGAGGAGGTGGTTCTGAATGGACCAAGAGAGGAAGAGGTTCTGGTTCTGAACGGACCCTAAGAGGTGATGTTCTGGTTTTGAATAGACCAAGAAAGGAGGAGGTTCTGGTTCTGCACGGATCCAGAGAGGAAGAGGTTTGGATTCCGAACGGACGCAGAGAGAAGGAGATTTTAGTTCTAAATGGACCCAGAGATTAGGACATTCTGGTTCTGAACGGACCCAGAGCGGAAGAGTTTCTGGTGCTGAATGGACCTAGGGAGGAAGAGGCTCTGGTTCTGAACAGACCCAAAGAGGAGGAGTTTCACATTCAGATCTGACCCGGAGAGGAAGAGGTTCTGGATCTGAACAGACCCAGCGATGAGGAGGTTCAGGTTTTGACTGGACCAAGAGAGGAGGAGTTTTCTGGTTCTGAATGGATCCAGAGAGTGGGAGGTTATAGATCTGATTGGACCCAGCGATGAGGAGGTTCAGGTTCTGATTGGACCAAGAGAGGAGGAGTTTGTGGTTCTGAATTGACCTGGAGAGGAATACACTGGAAAAAATCAAAATCTAAAAAAGTTTTTTTATTTTTTTTATTTTTATTTTTTCTTAAAATAAGTGCATTTTTTCTTAGATTGAGTTGCCAATAGACCAAGATAATTTAAACTTAAAATAAGAAAACACAATTGCATTGTCTTATTTTAAGTGCATATTATCTAATAATCTTATTTTAAGAGTAAAACTACTCATTCCATCGGCAAACTATCTCATTTACCTACTCTAATTAAGGGTAAATACACTTAATTTAAGAAGTTTTACTTATTTCTAGATAATTTTTCCAGTGTAGTTTCTGGTTCTTAATGGATCCAGAGAGGAAGAGGTTCTGGTTCTGAACAGACCCAGAGACGAGGAAGTTCACGTTCTAAACTGGCCCAGAGAGTGGGAGGTTATGGATCTGAACGGACCCATTGAGTATAAGTGTATTTTTCTTTTTTTTGAGCTTGTTAGTCTTGGTCCACACAACTTACTGGTTGGTGGTGGTAATGCACCAAAATGTTGTTTGCCAACCGCCATTAAAAATCAATTGAAGAAAAAGTTATTACAATTGTATTATAGTTATTTAAACATTTACACAAATGGTTCAAAAAATACAAAGGGGAATGTGGGAGTAGGGATATTCATTCCACAGTTTAATGTATGTATATGTAAAAGATTAACAGACCTTTTTATCTATATGCACAGCAGAAATGGAGGCAATTATTATTAGTTTACAGTGGGTGGAGGAGGTTAGAATGGATTGGGAGGTGATTTGCACAGATTCTAAAGCTGCAATACAAAGTATTCATTCAGGAGGAAATAATAGGAAAGACCTTGCAGTAGAAATTCATCAGAGTTTGTTTAGATTATTTAGGTATGGAATAGATGTTCAGTTCTTTCGGCTTCCAGCACATAAAGGGGTAAGAGGAAATGAAATAGCAGACAAGATAGATAAAAAAGGCTTCAGGAGAGCAGAATATAGATCAGATCCCGTTTGGGAAAAGGGGAAGGTAAATCAATCATTTAAAAGAAAGAAACAGAATTTTGGCAAAAGATATGGGATGAAGATAAGAAAGGGAGAAGATTATATAGGGTTCAAAAATCTGTAATTGTTAAAAATTATGGAGAAAGAGGCAGAATGGAAGAGATAATTTATACTGGATTGAGAACTGGACATACCTACTTGAATGAGTTTTTGTTTGTACTAGGGAAGAGAAATAATAATTGATGTGAGGGTCGTGAAAGAAAAGAAAATGTTGATCATGTTTTGATGGATTGCATTAAATATGCACCTGAAAGAGAGAGGACGAGGAAAGTAATTATGGAAAAAGGGAGAGAATGGAGTATTAAAGGAATTTTAGGGACAGCTGTAGATTTGGTTTTTCATAAAGCATTGTTTTTATTTTTACATAACACAAAAATAAAAAATAGAATAGGTGGAACTATAGAGCTACACACTCATGTACAGTAGGGGGCGGTATACACCTATAAGCTGTTTGCAATCCGCCATTCAACATAGAAGAACTTGTTGCTTTTGTCCACGCTCCTAAAAACAGAGAAGAAGTCCGAGAGTGAATTGCGCAGCGTCGCTTATGATGAGCTGAATATTGAGTCAAATAAAATTAGCTTTTTCACTATTAAGCCATGGATATTGTAATATATGTTCTGGCTGCTGTGCTCCTCCTCGTCCTCATTCTGTTTGCGCTGAAGGTTCAGAGGAAAACAAGGGACGGTAGGTTAGCAATTAGCTTCGATGCTAAGGATAGGAAGCTACATTACAATGAAACACTGAATTCATTTACTTTCAAACATGATTCACTGGGAATCAGACTTGTTTCCTATGGAAATATTGAAATTGTCATCAAGTCTGTAGAGATGAAAACCGCATGTTTCACCGTCTGCTATAATACTACGTCAGCTTTTCAGTTAGCCTAGTACGGAGCCCCAAATGGGACATATGACATGTCCGTTTTGTTGCTTTTAATAAATATTGTTAATTCTTCATACTTTAGGAACATAGTTGTTAAAATCCGTGGTATCAGGCCTAATTAAATCAACCTATAAAATCCCTCACTATTGTAAAGTAATCACTAACAGCAATGAGTCAGAGCTTAAACATAAGTGTTTGTGTTTACAGCCGATCAGGAGCAAAGGAGGGATGTTGTCCGGGGGGCAGCGGTCCCTGTGCAGGCTTTGGGAGAGCGGGGAGCTGGTATGCCCCGCAGGAGAAGGAACCTTGCTGCTGTGATAGCCAACAGACGTCCACAGAGAGAAGAGCAGGGTAACCTACACCAGCGTTACATTATTTAAATAATCTAAGAAGTCTATGACATTAAGAGATGACTAGCTGTGTTTTGGGATCCTACAGGAAATGAAACTTTACCCTGAAGGTTGACATATATTTAACTGGATCTGTAAGACATGTAAGTTTCTGTTGATTTCAGAGGAGGATCCTGCTGAAGACGAGGAAGGAGACCTGCAGAGCACCCAAACAACAGCTAAAATTGGAGCCAAGAAGCAGAAGAAGTTGGAGGAGAAACAGGCCAAGAAAGCCCAACGAGAGGTTCTACTCAGTTTATTTATGTAGTATTCACAACACACCATCTGAACGCACTTTACTGCTACAATACAATCATATTGGTTATTAAGTTTCTATCCAGGAAAACCAGCTGATTGCATCAAGTCATTGTCCTCCTAGAGAAGGTTGTGGTGTTGATTTTCACTTGCATTTTGTTTATGACACTCCAGCAATTCCTCACACCCAGCATGCTGTAGGAAAACTCCACTTCAACAGGAAGAAACCTCCAGCAGAAGCAGGCTCAGTGTGAGCAGCCATCTGCTGAGGTTGAGTGGAGTTCAGGGAGACAGAAGCAGACATACAGAAATAAGCATAGATACAAAAGGAACTTGTTAACCAGCTCCACAGGCAGCCCCGTCTAGGAAAGACACAGCCAGGCAGACGAGCTCTGAGCCAGCTCCCATGTTGAAATTCAAGGAACCACTAATAATAAATAAAAAAAAAGTAATAAACCTGCAGTTTGAGAGCGAAGTGCTCTGTTAGGAACATAAGGAACAATCAGATCTCTGATATCGGATGGAGCTTGGCCATTTAAGGCTTTATATGTGAGAAGGAGGATTTTAAATTCCATTCTGGATTTAACAGGAAGCCAATGAAGAGAAGCCAGGATAGGAGAGATATTATCTCTCTTTTTAATTTTAATTAGAACTCTGGCTGCAGCATTTTGGATCAGCTGAAGGCTTTTAACTACAGTTTGTGGACTTCTTGATAGTAAAGAATTATAATAGTCCAGCCTTGAAGTAACAAATGCATGGACTAGTTTCTCAGCATCACCTCTGGACAGGAGATTTCAAATTTTTGCAATATTGCACAGATGAAAAAAGAAAATTCATTCTTTATTATGACAGGTCCTGGTCAAAATTAACACCAAGATTGTTAACTTTATAAGACATGAATTTGATTCCATTCCGATTAGGTGACTGATTAACCGCTTAGCTCCCACGCCCCTATTTACAGGATACAGTGCGAGCATTTTTCTCACAATTGCGGCTACAATTATATTGGAGCCAAAATACATGCTGAAGTTCGAGTGAAAATGGGTTGGGAGCTGGACTATATGTTTAAGTGCCCTCTCAGGAGCCAAAACAGGTTTCATGGGCCCCCTTGAAAGCCTGTGGTGAGGACGTGCTATTTGGTGTCCCTTTTTATATGTCTTCTAACCCCTGACGTTAAAAATGTCCGTGTATGCCACTGTGTGCAAGTACATCTTTCACCCCTTTCATTTGCATTTTGCTTGTAAAATAAGCAGACTTCATTTAAGTAAGATAACTGTTAAGCTTTCATCAAAAAAAAAAAGAAAAGAGAAGAAATTTCCAAAAAGTCAAATAATTTGAATGGGTGAAATACTTAGGGAACCAGTTACAAAGTGTTACTGTTGCATTACAGATTTCAAACAATGACACCTAATGGGCATAATAATGAAGCACTTTTGTCGCTATATTTAGCAACTTTTCCGACCTCTCTAGTCCCTTTATCTAGTGTCTTTTTTTCTGTGTTGAGACTTGGTGAAAAAGCACAGAAATCTGTCCTCCTGAGCGAGTGGATCCATAAGTCCGTCAACCACTGTCTCTCTTTCATGCTCCGCTTTTGTCATGCAGGACAGTCGTGGCGATATATAGCTAAGAGAACTACATTTGAGCTGGCATCCAAGTGTTTGCAATAATTTGTTACTGAACTCCTGTTACATAACAACTGTATTTATAATGATTGAAGAAGATGTATGTATATTTTTGATTACTGACTTGTAAAATTTGTTTTTGATTAACATCCCTTCTGATGTATTCCAGCTTGGGTGGGTTTTTTTTGAATTAGCAGGATGTTGTGTAATTATACCTTATAAAATCAGACTTTAGGTAGTTTTTGACAAAATGTTAACAAGAATGTGGGAAGAGGTTTGTGGTTCTGCAACTGGGATGATGCTTGCTGCTTCAAAAAGGTCGAGGCTGTTTCGATCAGACTGATTGGAGCCTAAATTCACTAATTCATGTGTATTTTAGAGAATTTGAATACTTTATTGTTTGAAATGTTCCACCAACAATTTGAATTACTGCACATTTTCGCACAACTTGTTATGTATATACATACCAATTTGTGCTACAAGGTTGTTTGCATGTACAGCAAGGTCAATTTTGATTATTTTTTGTTTTATTTATTTTAGGCAGAGATGGAGGAGCGGGCGGAGAGGAGGAAGATGCAAGAACTCCGAGAGCAGGAGAAACGGCAAGAAGAGGAGAGGGAGCGAATGCAGGAAAAGAAACAGGTTGATTCCAGTGAAGATGTGTCCGGCTGCATTCCATGGGATGAAGTGCTGAGACTATGTGATGCTTCTTTCTGTAGGAAGAGGAGGAGAAGCGGGCTAAAGAGGAACAAGAGCAACGAGAGGAGGAGGAGTACTTGAAGCTCAAAGCCTCGTTTATTGTTGAGGACCACGGAGAGCAAGAACAGCTGTCAGAAGACCAGGTTTAGATTTCAGACTCGTTTTATCTTGATTTATTTTTAAAAGGCTTTGGTTTTAAACTGTTTTCACTTTTTTGTTTTTAGTCACTCAATCTGCTGCAGGACTTCATCAACTACATCAAGGTGAGCGGGACCCCCAGTGTCCATATTTAGCCTGCTGGTGTTTTTGAGTTGCGGATTTACTGATCTCTGTTTGCAGACATTTAAAGTTGTTCTCCTGGAGGACTTGGCATCTCATTTTGGGATGAGGACACAGGATGCAATCGCCAGACTGCAAGACCTTTTGTCTGAAGGAACACTCACAGGTTAGGACCAGGTTTCTTTTTATCTGGGAGTTTCTTGTGCTGGCTTTGGAGATTCTAAAGATGGGAACATGAGAGATCCTCCAAGAGGTTCAGATTAGACCAGTGGAACTATGAGATACAAACCTTCAGTCACATTCCATTGATGAATTGATGTAGCCTGACCACATCCCCAGACAAGAGAAAAAGTATCTGATGAGGTCAGATTTCTGAATACTTTTTTAAAAATTAAATTAATGAAAAAATCCAAATAATGGATTGTAATTATTTTTAATGATTCGCAGAAACCCTGGATCATTTCCGCATGTTTTGCTGCTTTGAGTTTAATCATCTCGCGCATGCCCTTTACGATCTCCAAGGAACGCAGAGCGGAGCGGACGGGAGCCACAGCGGAGGCTGTAGGCTTTGCTTTGTGCAGGCGGTCTGGAGCGCAGCGGGGCGGAGCGCTGACGGAGTATGTGGGATTTCGGGGTTAGCATGACCTGTTGGTCGTGTTGCTGTTAGCATAAACAAAACGTGTTGCACAATGCTTGCACTTTTATCCATAACTTTCTTTCCGCCGTCATTGTAGGTCACTCTAAATGCAAAGTGGTCCCATACAGCAGACCTATAAAGTGCTGCTGGCGCGTCTTCCAACTCCTGTTCTTTCCCACTCGCAATACCCACACAATTCTTTACAACAATTGATTCTTCTCTGCTACACCGGCTACGCTGCTTCGCTTCTTCTTCTCTACTGGTGGTTGGCTGTGGTCGCAGTACCGCCACCTTCTGCTCTGGAGTGTAAACGCTTGGCCTGTGAGAAAAAGGCCAAGAAACGAAACGAACCGAGACAGTCGAAACGAAGGGTTCGGACGGTTTTTATAAACCATTCCATCCCTAGTCTACATCTATTTCTTCAGAAAGACTTGCTCTTTAAACTGGGAAACTCGGGTGTATTGGCAAGGTTTTGATTCATTCGTCTTGACACAGCTATGTGGGCAACGATGGGTAGGACGGCTTCAGATTTAGCTGCACAAGGTCTTATGTATCGATCTGGAGTTGATACAGACATTGTAAACCAGAACCTGCCTCCTTCCTGATCGGTGTAACAGCTGGGCATTCCTGGTCTTTCCACGCTTGCATTTAACCCTCTCAGGCTCAAATTAAGTTGTAGTTGCAGGAAAAAAATCTGATATTTGGAGAAAATGATCATATGGAGTAATAATATACAATTCAGACTTCTTTTGGAGAGAGACCTTCACATGCAATGAATTCTGGGATATTGCAGATTCGCAACGGTGACCCGGAGTGATAAATTAACACTGAAGACTGAATCTGATATGAACGTTAACTTTATTTGGATGTCACAAACAAAAAATTAACAAAACAAAATTTGAACAAAAAATGTTCTAAAAATTAGAGACAACTTTTTCTCCACCGACATCTCAAAACCTCTTAAGAAGGCAGTTTCTGTTAAACTGTTGCTCAAAATGTAGGCAAACTAGTAGATGAAGCATGTAGCATCTATTGGTAGCTGTTTGGGCACACGTTGCAAATCCACAACATTGAAATCGAGATGCCTCTGGTGAAAAACCCAGAGGAGATAAAATCTACTAATTGGCGTGTGTCATATCTATACATATTCATGATTCATCTTATGTAGTATTGATTTCAAAATAATGGAAATTGGTAGTGAAATACATTAAATTGGTGCTTAGAAAATCTGTTTCAGTGACACCAAGGACTCAGCCATGGTGAAAGTGAGTTAGCAGTGCCATCTGGTGAGCTGGAGAGAAACTGTTTGTTGCAAATGCACAACTAAGTCCTTCTATTTAACTTCTGAGTAACAAACGCTCTTAAAATACGGATGTGGAGTAATTAGCTAAGTGGCATTTAGCTGTTGCAATTCTGCAACATCTGTCTGGAGAGGGTTAATCGTTTAATAGTATGAATGTGGAACACTCCGTGGGTTAGATTGGATCCAAGCATAAACTAGCACAAACTTTCTAATAACTTGGAATGTTGAGGCATAAATCAAATACATTTAACTCAGACATTTTGAACTAATGATCATAAACTTAAGAGTTGCGTGGACACCTTAAGGGGTTTCCTGGGTTTTTTTAAGTCATAAGTTAAAGTTTGTGTTTTTGACATTTAAAAACAAATGTTTATTTACTTTGTCTGCAGTGGATTTAAAACATTGTTGTAATTTTATCAAATGTTTATTCAAATAATTTATGAGCTCCCAATGATATTCTGGAAGAAAGAGTTTTGGTTTTCAGCAACCTGAAAAACTGACTGCTTGGATGGAAACTTTTTTTTTTCTTTTCTTTTTAATATGGCAATGGCTTGCTCCGTGTTGCTGCAGGTGTGATCGACGACAGAGGGAAGTTCATTTTCATCACCCCAGAGGAGCTGGACTCCGTGGCTCGGTTCATCAGACAGAGAGGCAGAGTCTCCATCACAGAGCTAGCTCAGGCCAGCAACTCCCTCATTAACCTGATGCCTGAGAGCTGCAGCTCTGCCTGAAAATAAAGGGGATGTTTGCCGTTTGATCGCAACGTTGGGTCATCATGGAAGCGAGTACTACAGCACTGTATTTTGCAGAGGAATTAAAATGTTTCTGACATCTTTTTGTCTTATCTTTCATCTTAATGCTGTGCATCAACCAAAGTATTATCGGTTTCTGCAGAGGAGTAGTGATGGGTTCATGAGGTGTTATGAAGCGTTTCGACACATTGGGAAACTGTACTGATGCTATGTAACTGACTCCTGGAAATCATTTGAAGGCAGCCCCTTTGTCAGGCTAAACTGACACAGATTTGATGACCTATATGATTTAAGCCATCGTTTACTATAATGTGCTATTACAGATCTTAGTTAAAATTGAAAATATGTTTGAGATGTTATATGCAATCCATAAATATAAACATAAAATGAGAAAATTTAAATGAACATGTTAATATGGACTTTTGTGGACTAGGATTTATTTAAAAGAACTACGGTAAACAGCAAACCAAGACAATTTTAAATTAGTTTCAATTTAGATAACTCACTAGGAGGAACAGGATGATACAATTAAAACAAATGGATCCAAATGGTCCCATATGGCTGAAATCTTTCTTTTGCCTTGAGGTTACTTCATATCTCTTGGTTTATTTGATGATAAACTCAGTTTAGTGCGTCAGCCAGTCCGAAACAGCTCCTACATTGGTCATGTGACTTTCTGATGTGGCTGTTTGAGCTCGACAAATGCGCCGGCGCATCGGTGTTGCTGGGCCCATCACTACACTAAGCTCCAGTGGAGCAGCAAAGAATGCTTGAATTTTCAAAAGACATAAAAGTTCCTGTTTAACAGCAGGGATATATAGCTCCCCCTGCTGCTGGTAATAGTTGCTACATCCTCCTTTTGCCAGAAGGACAGCTGTTAATCTTAGTAATAGTGTCACCTGTGATAAATCACACCGGTTTTTACATTTATTAAAAGCACTCTGTGGTGTTCTTCTTGTAGATCACTAAAATAAGATTCTTCCTGATCAAAATCACACTGATAGACTGAACTATATATTCTAAGTAAATTTTTCCAGTAGAAACTTAATTCTTTTGTTATAGTAATCATAGTATTTTACCTAGTATTTATTCCCTGAAATTAAGTTTTAAATAACTAGAAAGGTTAACACATTTTTAGTGGCCCTTCTTACATTTATCAGCTTGACTCAATATCTATGACAGGGTTTATCCAGGAAGGAGGAACTCTAATGCTTTTTAATGCTGTTAGACATAATTTTAATGCCATCAATAAGTACCCATTACTCTCATATATATATATAACACGGCCAAATCTTTCGTAATCTTTACCATCGACAGGCTGCAGCTATGTCCCGAATTTCTCGTTTTCCAGCCGCTTATGTTAAAATTAGCATTTTCCCCATTCTCTTTTTCTGTGCCTCGAGCTTCTGTTCCGAACATACGGCTTTAGGATCAACCAGGAGCAGTTCCACGCAAACACATGGAACCAGTTAAATCTGATATATTTGACAAAGTTTTTTAATTTTTTACAAAGCATTTTAAATGCCATGATAATCACATTTAATAAATTTTAATGCCAATTAAGGCCTTAATTAAAAATATAATTAAATGACTTTTAATGACCCGCAGAAACCCTGTATGATAACTAAAATAGGAATATGGAGATCTGAAATGAATTTCTAGATGCAAAGAATGTTTATTCTAGATGTGATGTCATTTTGGATGAAATGGTAATTTTGACAAGAAAAAAAACGTTTATGTCAGATATAAGGAACTCGGGTTTGGTCAAACTAATACATATCAAAACTGCATTACCATAGCCTGTTGTGACCACGATAAGATTGAAGTGAAGTAGATCAGTGTATCTATTTAGAGGTAATCCTTTGGCAGAAGGTAAAGATGAATAAAAACATTCTAATAGATGGAACCAGGTCATCGTGTCATGGTTCTCAGTTTGATTCTGTCTTCCATCCCACAGTAAATACTAACTGGCTGTTTGCAGCCGCTTTGGATATTATCCCAATAAATGGTCGTTATTAGTGGTTATCAGTCCCATAGGCTCAGTAGCTTGTTATCAGCAAGCGAATCCATCATTTAAAATCCCTTTTTTTAATATCGAAGGAGGTTTTCATTAATTCTTTACTATCAAACGGGAAGTAATAACTTCCATCACTTGGCCTGACCCAAGGATGACAGCCATGGAAAATAAATCTTTATTTGATCACAAATAAATGAAAGACTATAACATTTCTAACAGTTTCCTTTAATCCATCATTTGTCCTCATGTTTGCTAGTCATTGCCGTTCTGCGACTCGGTTTTATTTCCCATGTGGACGCCTCTCCTCTATCCTGAAAACAAAGAACACATCAGGTAAAGATCATAGATAAACAGAGTAACACTTCAGTGGTAGCCTACCTTTATCACCACCCCTAAGGGGACCAAATCTTTTCTGAGGGTATCACAAGCTTCCAATAGGGGGACTCTTTCAGGGTACAGGGCTGGTTTGTTATTTGCATCGTTATGGCGGGTGAGAGCAAATGCACGAACTTCGCTTCTGAAACGAGTTAGATGCTCTACCACTGACTGGAAGTTTCCATCACTGCTCAGCACCTCCGCCTCCTTCATAGAAACAACCAGATGTGAGGCTAAAAGGGAATTTGGAGGAAAGACGACTGCTGGTCTGCACGCAAATCCTGACCTTACTGCGTAGCAGCTCGATTCCAAACATATCCAGGACATCCTGGATGTAGGTAACCATTGCACCAAATACTGCAGGGCTCTGTGCAATTCCCCTTGACTGAAAAACACAAGAATGACACTTCTTACTTCAAGGCTTAATAATACGCTGGATCTGCAGAGTCAGACACCCTGAGTTACCGTAGTGGGCTGTAGCTGGCAGTTTCCATGATAAATGAGATTCATCAGCGCACCAATGGCTTTGGATGTGTCAAAGTCATCTGCTAAGGCCGTCCCGATGGTAGACTTGGCTTCAGCGAGTCTGAAGAACCAAGCAAGCAGAGTGAAACCCAGCAAAAGAAGGATGCATTCATGAAACCTTCAAAATGAGTTTCTACCTTTGCCACAGGATATCCTCCTGCACAGGAGAACAGGGTAACTGACCCCTAATATATGCCTGAGCAGCACTGATGAAGGTGCGGACGGTTTCCAGAGAGGTGCGAGCTTCCAACATACTGCCGTCACTGTAATCTATAGCTGTGGGGAGAACAGGCAAAGTGTGCTTCAGGGTTACTAGGGTTCAATATGTTCTGTCTTCTTACCGTTAGCACAACTTCACTTGCAGGACTTTTACGCTTTTTACCTTTTTAATTTACCTCCTAAAAGGACTAAAACAGAAATATTTGGTGTAATGTAGTGTCAGACATAAAAAAATATATATTTCAACTGTTTTCTTACAAAGAAACAATACATAGATGTAAAAGTCTATGTGCTGCTTCTTAGAAAATATGGAACCACAATTGCAAAAGTGCACCAAGCTTTCTTCCCAGATCCCCACAGCCAAGCTGGACCGTGACCAAAAACTGGCCCTGTCCTTTCCGTTCCTGGTGGTCCACCATGATCAGTGATATATGTGGAGACACAGCCTATCACGTTATATATACACTCACCGGCCACTTTATTAGGTACACTTGTCCAACTGCTCGTTAACACTTATTTTCTAAGCAGCCAATCACATGGCGACAACTCAGTGCATTTAGGCTTGTAGACGTGGTCAAGACAATCTCCTTCATTGTCTATTCTTGTTCTTAGAAATGAAGGCTATTCCATACGATAAATTGCTAAGAAATTGAAGATTTTCTGCAACGGTGTGTACTACTCCCTTCAGAGGACAGCACAAACAGGTTCTAACCAGAGCAGAAAAATAAATGGGAGGCCGCGTTGCACAACTGAGCAAGAAGATAAGTACATTAGAGTCTCTAGTTTGAGAAACAGACGCCTCACAGGTCCCCAACTGGCATTTTCATTAAATAGTACCCGCAGTAGCCTGTTTGTGCTGTCCTCTGAAGGGAGTAGTACACACCGTTGTAGGAAAACATCAATTTCTTAGCAATTTCTCGTTTAAAGGTATCTTCATTGAAAAGTACAGTGCTTTTCCTTCAAAAATAAGGACATTTCAATGTGACCCCAAACTTTTGAACGGTAGTGTGTATATATATATATATATATATATATATATATATATATATATATATATATATATATATATATATATATATATATATATATATATATATATTTATATTATTATTTTTTTTTAATACATAGAAATGTAGAAATTTGTGACATTCCCAAAGGTCATGCTAACACACACTGTTAAGGACCAGCTGTAATGGAAACAAAAGCTTGCCAAATGTTCCTAGGTCCACATGTAATGTGCAATGCCTGGCAATGGGGGAATGTACATCCCGTCTCGGTTGTGTATGTAATATAAAGAGTTGCTGCATATTTGCAATAATAGGTGTCAAGGGGTTAACGGAGACAAAGAGAAAGAGAGGTTCTACAGTCGTTTTTCAGGTTACCCACCAGATCTATATTTGGTCATGAGACAAAACATCCGAAATTCTTCAGCAGAGTAAGATTGTAGGAAATCCTGATGTAGAAAGCAAAAAAACAAAAAAATCAATTAGTCACATAAAGCTTTACAAGCACAAGAGAAAATACAACTAGACATTGTTCCATGTATATAAATCACACAGAGGGCCACAAACTCCTAGACAGGAGTAATTTATAAAACCAACTGATTGTAGTTCTGACATGTACATTTAAAACCAGCCCACTGTAATTACAAGGTGATACAATAGGGCCTTAGCAAAGCTAATCAGATGCTGATGGAACTAACCTGCTACATAGATAAGTGAATGTCTTCAGGATATGAAAACCTGAAGGATTTTACATTTTTTCCAGACATTATTATGTGAAAAGGAAAAGCAACACAAAATCATTCTTGATAGTCGAAGTCAAAATGAACGAGTAAACATGTTTTAAATAAGTTTAGTTTGTGTAGCATGGATGTTTTTTTTTCTTCCCCAAAACCAAAGAGCACTAAGGAGTACTGTACATCTCCAGAACATGTCTGTCATCCCTTCATCCACTCTCCATCTCTCTCAGACAGAAAAAAAACAAATGTTAACAGTGAGACTGATCTGAACAACGATCCACTTTCTGTTCCACAATGTAATTTCAATGGTAGCTCGATCTCATATAGAGTCACCAATTGTGATTTCTTTGGTCGAAATGACAACAAATTTACCCAGAGTGCCTTTGGTACCGACATTCCAGCTGCAGGTGTAGTGACCCATAATTCTCTGAGTAAAAGTTTAATTTATATCAGCAGAGCTGCATAATATATAATGATTCAGCCTAATATAATTGCTTCTTAGTAACAACAAATGTGGTCACCAAGTAAAAACACTGGGTTTGGATAACAGCTGACTGATTGAACAAGACTCTTATCTCAGTCTGGAGCACTCGGAAAATTGGTTTGTACCCGTCTCCTAAATCAAAAGTACAAAGAATTTAAAAATTCATTTTTTGTCTAGTATGACACCCACTGTTTCTATATTTAGAAATTGAATTTTGAGGGAAACAAATCCATGAGGAAATCTGCACTAATACAGAAAGTCTTTACCTTGATCGAAATATAATTTTTCAGAGATTTGGACATTTTCTCTGCACTGCCCTTCAAGTGTAAGTGACCTAAAAGAATAAGAACACCCAATCAGTCAAAGGCACATCAAAGAAAATGTTATGAAGATATCTACCATAGTATTACTTCTCTACTTATGTAGTATTCTAATTCAAAGATGTCAATAGTAATGGAGAGATGAAGAATCAAGATGCCTCATAAGCTCCATGCTGCCATCTGGTGAATAATAAATGTAAAAGGTTTGGTAACGATGATGCGATTTTTTCTGGCCTAAAGGCTTGTTTATCCTCAGAAACCAGGTCACCAGTTTGTGTGTCGCAGTTAACGCAGATATACCCCCGCCCCTTATGCGGACAGTCTGGTGCACCTCTCCAAAATTGTAAGACAGGAGGCCTCTGATTGGTCAAATCTACATCCGCTCTACACTATACCCATTTCCTGTTTGGTACCTTACCGGCTTGTTTTGTTTGTATGACCGGCACGGTGGAAAACGACTCGTGAAGATGGACAACCTAGAAGAGCAGGTGAGCAAGAACGCTAGGACCCTTTTTCTATCTGATCCCTGCTCTTTTTCGCCCTCATCTACCTCTGTTGCCGCACAAACTTGCCCCTTGGGTTTTTCCACTTCCCCACCACTTCGACTGTATCTAGACACACAGCTAGTTTGTAATCGTCCCTCTTGCTTTGTGGCGTGGAATTACATAGCGCACCTTGAACATGGTCTGTATAGTCTTTTATCTCTTTTTATGCACCTTTATTACTAGAAACATGCCTCAAGGCATCCCAGACACCGAAGTCCTCACCCGTGCTGACCTGCCCAGCATCAACACCATCCTGATGCAGTCCCAGCTTCGATGGGCAGGACACGTAGTTCGCATGTCTGATGACCGCATCCCAAAGAAACTGCTGTTTGGCGAGCTACAGCAAGGAAAGCGCCCCCAAGGTGGACAAAAGAAGCGTTTCAAGGACACACTCAAAGCCTCGTTGAAGGCCTTCAACATCGACCACAACACATGGGAGCACAACGCAGCGCAAGACAGAGGAATGTGGCGATCCGCTGTCCAAAAAGGTGCCAAAGCTTGCGAGGCAAACCGGGTCGCTGTGGCTGTAGAGCGTAGGCAAGCCAGGAAGATCAGAGCTGCCAATCCTGCACCAGACGCCACCATTCATTGTCCGCATTGCCCATGACTTTTCCGTGCACAGATTGGCCTGACCAGCCACCTGCGTACTCATAGACTCTAACTTCCCCAACCATAGGATGAATAGATGGTCCTCATCATATCGACGGACGAACAGGAGCGCACCTTAAACATGGTCTGTATATGGTCTTTTATCTCCCTTTATGCACTTAGCAAAAAGTCCACCTTTATTACAAGAAACATGCCTCGAGGCATTGACAAGCTGGACACTTTAAGTCTGGCTTTTGGAAAGTATCAAACTCTATTAATTAGAAGTGCCAGTGTTGTGCATTTAGACGTTGTTATACGTGTCAGTGATCTGTAATGCAGGCTGCCCACTGAAGACACCTTTACCTGTAGCGTTATTGCCAAATCTTTTTTCATGGAACTATCACTGTTTAACTAAAAACTTTGAGAAATCATAAGAGAATAAGTCATCATTTACTCATGTTCAATGGTTTTGTCTTAGTTATGTTAACCACCTTAGAATCTTGAAGAATGAGAGTGTGAATGCTTGCAATTTATCAAAACAGCTAACTTAGCTTGAAAAAAAAGGGCAGAAATTCCAATGAATATTATGAAGTCCTTGAAGAAGAAAGACTGCTTAAAAATTTAATGTAAGCAAGTTTGAGGGATCTTAGAACCTGTTAGGGTCGTGTATAAAGGATTCACCTGAATGAAGGAAGTAGTTTGCCCATTGTCCACACCGATGAAAGGCTTCACTCTGAGCGATCTCATTCTCATGGTGAGGAAAGGCCAGATCAATCCCGCCAGAGTGAATATCTAGCTGACTCCCAAACACGTGGCTGAAACCAGTAAAACATAACCTCTAATGGAATGGCTAACAATTGGATCACGGTTTTCCATTATGTCTGTATTTTAGTCCGTTACAAAGTACACACATCTACTTCAGTTTCAGACAAATGAAGACAAATGAATTGCAATCTACGGCTAAAAGCAGTGGATGTATATGCCATACATAGGCTGTGTAAAAACATCTGGTTTCTTACTGTGTGAAATTAACTCAGATTAAGGTCCAATCCCAACACACCCCTAGGGATATGAATCTAGCCCTTTAAAATTAGAAATTTTATATTCTGACATGCTGGGAAAGGTACGGAAGAGGATTAGGGCCACTGGAAAAAAAAAAAAAAAGTTAACTGATTTTTAAATTTTATTTCAGTTTAACATAGGAAAAAAGTCAGAATACTGACTTTTTTCTCAGAATTCTGACTTTAATCTCAGAATTCAGAATTTTTGCTCAAAATTCTGACTAATCTCAGAATTCTGACTTTAATCTCAGAATCTTAATGTAGATGGGCACCATGAAGGAAGAGACGTGGGAGCACTCAGCTTCACTGACAAAGATGTGAGTTGTTTGAGAGGGCCAGTGACATATTGGTGGAAAATGACAGAATTAGGCAACTTTTTACGTGCCCGAGGGGTCCCCCTATTAATGGAGGAGCAGAAGGTCTTTAAAACAAGAGAGCTAGTCTCTAAAACAGACATGGCTATGGCTTAATGCTAACATGGTTGTTATCTGTCAGAATTTTGAGAAAAAAGTCAGAATTCTAAGAAAAAAGTCATAATTCTTAGATTAAATTCAGAATTCTTTGAAAAAAGTCAGAATTCTGACTTCTTTCTCATGTTAAACTGAAATAAAACATAAAAATCTGTTAACTTTTTTATCTTTTTCAGTGGCCCTAATCCTCTTCCGTATAAAGGGCCAGAGACAATAAAAAAACAAACAAAAACAAAAAAACATAGAAGACAGGGATTTTATGGAATGACTTGCAATTTTTTTTTTTTTCTGGATTAAGCTGATTCTATGAGCAATAGAGGTTAGGTAAGACAGTGTTTTGGGGCTCAGATAGGAGCAGCAGGGAATCAGTACGTAAACACAGGCAGAGAGAAAACCAGAAACGGAAAGAGGCTGCCATCCTTTAGAGCTAAGGAAACACAGCAGGAGATCAGAGGAGCCCGCTGAGGAAACCGGGATCCAGAGAGAGGAGAGAAAGCAGCAGCTTGCCAATAAATTGCATTAGATCTGAGAATGGGAGAGGCTACAGCGGGCTGAGGCTATAGCTGACCGGCGCTAAAAATAGTCCCGAGGAAGACTGGATAAGTTCGACGAGGGTTACAGATGGACAAGATTAGGACGGCAGGCCGGAGCTACCCACTAGATCAGTGATCGACAACCCGTGGCTCTTTAATGCCCCTCTTGCGGCTCCCTGGAGCTTTTTCAGTTATGTATGAAAATAGAAAAAGATGGATTCTTTTTGTTTGTTTGTTTTAATATGGTATGCAAGAGGGCAAACAAACATTCATTATGTTTTCTAATGCTGTAAAAATGTGTATAATAAATACATTTAAACAATATAAATATTTCTGTTAAGGAGGATTTGCATTACAGCCTGCAACACGCATTTCAGTGTGGAGCGATGGCAGGCTGTTTTATACAAAGCGGTGGGTGTGTCTCAGGGGAAAAAAAGGAAGATAGCTGATGAGACCAGCGGATTCAAAGAAGAATGGACCGAATCATTTGCTTTCATTACCAATGCGGAAGGATTGCCTGCATGTTTGCTTTGTAATGAGAAGTTGTCAAATAATAAAAAGAGTAATTTGGAAAGAAATCCTAAATTCACGCCCGACCACCAAGTTAGGAGTGAGAGAAAAAGTGCAATTCCAGAATTTCTGGATAAATAACAGGAGCACAAAGACAGATTTAAGAATTGGATTGCATCTCCAAACTCCACTACTGCTGCTTAATGCAAGTTTCGGACTATTAGCCGCACCTGAATATAAGCCGCAGAAGCTAAATTGCATGATTTGTACATATACAAGCCGCACCGGACTATAAGCCGCAGGTTATTTATGTTTAACGCAAACTGTATTACGCTCGCAATGTCCGTCTTTCTCACTGTCGTTCTATCTCGTACCACCCGCGCGCGGCTACTGTACTTGTGTGTATTACCCTAGTGGCCGTTAGCTTTAAAAGTCCACAGATAAGCTGCATTATTATAAAAGCCGCATGGTCGAAAAATGGGGAAAAAGTCGCTGCTTATAGTCCGAAAATTATGGTACTTTTGTTGCAAGCATGGAAAACCTTCCACAGATCGAACAGGTAGCGCTCCTATGCAGGTGTGTGAACTTTCTTCCATTTTGTCCCCTAAAACAAAAATAACAATAAAATCTGACTTCTTTATTGTGTTTCTATAATTTCATCAATGCAACAAAACCTAAAACATTAATATCGTAATGGAACTTAATCTAAAAGCACCAACAATTGTACAGCAGAGTAGTCACAGGATGTGACATTTGTTCAAGGATAAACATTTAATCATGCGTGCTATATATTTAAAGGCACTGTTTACAAATACGAGTTATTTTAAATGATTCATCAGGCCAATATACAGCGATGACGCCATCATTGCTACAAAAGCTTTTCTCCTCTGTTATGGTGCTAGGTATCTTATCTATGTGCATACACAGTTGTTTACGTACCAGAGTGTTATATATGCAGCGAGGGGTGTCCCAATTAATAGGGAAGACTACAAAGCCCAGTGGTAGAGTACTTGTGGTAGCAAGTAGGGGGTGTATTGAGATTAGGCCTAAATATTCACCTTTTTAGCTCAGTTACATAGAGGAAAAGATCCTGAACAGGATTTGAACTCAGGAACATTATTATAACAGTATTTATTACCAATACAGAAGTATCTTTAGCTGAAATATTCAAAGCAATAGCAAAACTGTTCAGTTTCTAAACAGCTCAGTAGAGAAGAAATATAACAGAGGGAATTTGAACCTGGCAATAGTCGAACATTCAATATGCCAGCCAGGTCTTCCATGGCCCCATGGAGATTCCCAGTGCGGCTCGTGAGGTTTGGACGTCTTCCACAGGGCAAAATCCCTGGAGTCCCGTTTATTTGAAGTGCCTAGGGTAACAGACAGAATAAAGAAATTTATTATTTGTTATTTTGGACAACTGTGAGAATAAGAGTTCAGGTACGTTCACAAAATAAAAGTCACCACGCTGGTGACTTTCTACATTATGCAGTCTGCTGGTCATTGGTCTCACCCCAGCATGGCAGACATTTCTTTCTTTTTTAAATCCTCCAAACCGAGCAAAGCTGCATGCATTCACTGGATTCCCAGAGATGGAACTAGCATTGGAAAATCCACCACCTCCTCCAGTGGCTACGTCTGGAAAAGGGTCGCTTTCAGCCTTACTTCCGCATACCCATAACCCAGTTCGGGGACCTCCTGTTCCGCTTTGGGAAAAAAAGGGAAAATAATGGGAGAAGCTAACTGCTGAGGATCAGGGGAGCACAGTGGCAGATAGGATAAGTCCACCCGGAGACCAAAAACTGAAGGGGTGAGACCACGGCTGCTCAGGGGTAGGATATTGGTAAATCGGAGAAACCCAGCAGGGAGACAGAGCTAGAAGAAACTAGGGCTGGCTGGAGTTAGCCTCTAGACGCTAATTGCTGGAGTTGAGAGTATAACTGAGGATCAGCAAAGCTTGCCCATGCAGACAGCGACAGAGTGTGGAAAAGAAGGAATTGGCTGACTTGTGTCTGCACTCGAGGTATGGCGGAGAAATATTCCTTCTAAGGCTAAATCAAAACAGCTTCTTCAAAAGTCACCTTAAATATTCTTAAGAACGATTCACTGCCTCCTTCGCTGTAGCTCACAGCCATAAATATGTAAACAAAAGTTCCGATTTTTCAACTCCTGCAAATTGATTTTGGCTTTTTGCCGCTTTGTTGCACGGAATGTTTCAGAACATTTAACAAATTCACATGTTAGTCAAAGGTAACACTGATTTACACCAAATTCAGTTAATAAATTATGGGTGTTAAGGAAAATAAATCCAACCTGCATATGGCCCTCCTTTGTCCATTTCAAAGTTGAGCTTTTATTTTACACTTGAAGCAGTATTCAATATAATATCATATAATACAGGTGCTGGTCATAAAATTAGAATATCATGAAAAAGTAGATTGATTTCAGTAATTCCATTTAAAAAGTGAAACTTGTATATTATATTCATACATTACATACAAACTCATATATTTCAGATGTTTATTTTGTTTAATTTTGATGATTACAAATGACAACAAATGAAAATCTCAAATTCATCATATCAGAAAATTAGAATATTACTGAAGACCAATAAAAACAAAGGATTTATAGAAATGTTGGCCAACTGAAAAGTATGAACATGAAAAGTATGAGCATGTACAGCACTCAGTATTTAGTTGGGCCTCCTTTGGCCTGTATTACTGCAGCAATGCGGCGTGGCATGGAGTCGATCAGTCTGTGGCACTGCTCAGGTGTTATGATAGCCCAGGTTGCTCTAATAGTGGCTTTTAGCTCTTCTGAATTGTTGGGTCTGGTGTATTGCATCTTCTTCTTCACAATACCCCATAGATTTTCTATGGGGTTAAGGTCAGGAGAGTTTGCTGGCCAATTAAGAACAGGGATACCATGGTCCTTCAACCAGGTACTGGTAGCTTTGGCACTGTGTGCAGGTGCCAAGTCCTGTTGGAAAATGAAATCTGCATCTCCAAAAAGTTGGTCAGCTGCAGGAAGCATGAAGTGCTCTAAAACTTCCTGGTATGTGGCTGCGTTGACCCTGGACCTCAGAAAACACAATGGACCAACACCAGCAGATGACATGGCACCCCAAACCATCACTGACTGTGGAAACTTTACACTGGACTTCAAGCAACGTGGATGAAGTGCCTCTCTTCTTTTCCTCCAGACTCTGGGACCTTGATTTCCAAAGGAAATGCAAAATTTACTTTCATCAGAGAACATGACTTTGGACCACTCACCAGCAGTCCAGTCCTGTTTCTCTTTAGCCCAGGCAAGACGCTTCTGACGCTGTCTGTGGTTCAAGAGTGGCTTGACACAAGGAATGCGACAGCAGAAACCCATGTCTTTCATACGTCTGTGTGTGGTGGTTCTTGAAGCACTCACTCCAGCTGCAGTCCACTCTTTGTGAATCTCCCCCACATTTTTGAATGGGTTTTGTTTCACAATCCTCTCCAGGGTGCGGTTATCTCTCTTGCTTGTACACTTTTTTCGACCACATCTTTTCCTTCCCTTCGCCTCTCTATTAATGTGCTTGGACACTGAGCTCTGTGAACAGCCAGCCTCTTTAGCGATGACCTTTTGTGTCTTGCCCTCCTTGTGCAAGGTGTCGATGGTCGTCTTTTGGACAACTGTCAAGTCAGCAGTCTTCCCCATGATTGTGTAGCCTATAGAACTAGACTGAAAGACCATTTAAAGGCTTTTGCAGGTGGTTTGAGTTAATTAGCTGATTAGAGTGTGGCACCAGGGGCCATCAATTTTGAACCTTTTCACAATATTCTAATTTTCTGATATGATGAATTTGAGATTTTCATTTGTTGTCATTTGTAATCATCAAAATTAAACAAAATAAACATCTGAAATATGAGTTTGTATGTAATGTATGAATATAATATACAAGTTTCACTTTTTAAATGGAATTACTGAAATCAATCTACTTTTTCATGATATTCTAATTTTATGACCAGCACCTGTATTCATCCAGTATTCATCTGGAAAGTCTGCTGTAGAAAGTGTTTGAAAAAAGAGAGGGACACTACACTACAACTCTTCAAGCTGATTGGGTAAATCACCTTCCTATGTCAAGCTTTTAGCCCAGCTGGGAAGTTTCACATTCTTGATCTGTTTCAAAACCAATGAAACAAAACTAGATAAATCAAACTCTCACCAAACCTGGTCATAAGGAACATGCAGACATCATTCCCATCCACAAAAGGACAAATCGCTTCCTTTTGCTCTTTTGGCTAAAACCGAAGGAGCTGTCTTTTTTTTTTTTGCTTCAGCATTTAGTATAATTGTAACTAATTGACGAGTTACAATTATACATGTGACTAAATTTTTTTGGTATGAAACATTTCATACAGAAATGGTTTCTTGTGAGATGCATTTTTGGGATTTTTTGAATTACAAAAATCCCGCAGCAAATCATCTTGCAAGTAGGGTCACGACCCCATGTTTAGAAAACAATGATTTAGAGGACAGTTTTACAAAGAGGTTTTATATAATTTCAAAGGATCATTAACCGTTCGAAGTTAGGTTCTTACAAAAAACATTCAAACATTTGGGAAAACAAAAAACATTATCTTCTTAACACCACAGTTATACCTACCCGGCTCTACCTGAGAACTTGCAGCTCCAACAAACTTCCCATAACGTTCACCTATGGACTGAACGTCAAAATATACGTTGCCTGCAAACAAAGAAAACTGGTCATATACCTCAGACACAGGGGCTATACAAGTTTTTTTTTTTTTCTCAAAGCAACCATTATTCATACCCACCTTCGGGTGTGGCATAAGCATGCCCATTTCTGATAATTCCTTGAATAAATGCAACGATATGATGAACATTCTCTGTGACTCTTAGATACACAGCAGGAGGAACCACCTGAAAGAAAGCCACAGGTTTGTTTTTACGTGAACAGTTATCAGAATCCTTTGAGAAAAAACGTTGCAGAGCCGACATGATGATAGCTGAAAAGTTATGCACAACCTACCTTTAATGACAGCATGTCCCTCTTAAACTCATCCTCATACATCCTAGCAATCACAGCTGGAGACACATTTTCCTGAGCCATGAGGAAACACTTTTAGCATCACTCACAGGACTCCATATGTTGAGCATATTATTGTGATGCTTACCTCCCAACTTCTTTTTATAATCTTGTCATCAATGTCAGTAATGACCATGGCATGGATAACAGTGATACCAAAAAACCTGCTCAGGATCCTCTGCAGGATATCAAACCTGACATAAGAACTAGGAGGAAGCAGAGGTTGGAGCACGTTTTTTTTTTTTTTTTTTGTCAGACGTTCCTGCAAACCTACGGAAGAGGATTAGGGCCACTGGAAAAAAAAAGTTAACTGATTTTTGCATTTTATTTCAGTTTAATATGGGAAAACCTCTTAAAACCCACCTGGTGGAACTTAAGTGTGGGTAATAATTCAGAATGCATAAAATTTCACTGGTAAACTTTTTACCAGCAGGTGGAGCCATTGTGACCAGCTCCAAGCTGATACCAGAACGTACCTGTTCAAAAAAGACCTATCATTCCCGAGAATAAAAAAAACAACAACTTTTGAATCATGTTTGAACTGATGCAGGTTGGTCTGTAATCTACTCACCCAAACTAGAGGGTGTTAGCTTTCAAATAATGTATTGCACATGTAATTTGGGTTTACAGTTCCTAAATAATATTTGCTTTTCCATTTGGGTATGCAAAATAGGCGAGGATTACCCAAAATGAGGTGGATGTTAAGAGGTTAATATCAGAATTCTGACTTTTTTCCCCTCAGAATTCTGACTCTAATCTCAGAATTCTGGGTTTAATCTCAGAATCCTGACTGTTTTCCTCAGAATTCGGATTTTTTTTACTCAGAATTCGGACTTTTTTCCTCAGATTTCGGACTTTTTTCCTCAGATTTCGGACTTTAATCTCAGAATCCTGAATTTTTCCTCAGAATTCGGACTATAAAATTTTAAAAATCAGTTAACTTTTTTTTTCAGTGGCCCTAATCCTCTTCCGTATAAACCTGCATATCAAATACAATATAAAAACATCAGTGTAGAATATAATGTACCATGCATGCCCCAGGTGAGCATGGTCATACACTGTGGGTCCACAGCTGTACCTAGGATAAGAGAAGACATCCTTTAGGGTCATTGGAAGACGTAAGAACAGAGTGATGGTCAATATGTTCCCTACCATGTTGCGGTTCCTTCTCTAGCCAAGATCAGAGCTTCTTTCTTTTTGGTCAGGCTGTTAAATGTCTTTATTCCCGTGTCGAAGCCTGTGGGGGTGAGCCATGCCTTCCCTGAAGCACTGTACCTCACAGAGGTAGAGCAGCTGGAGCTGAGGATCCGGAAAAGGACCTTTCCACTCCGGAGCATTGTTAATCAGGGACCCCTATTAGGGTCGGTTAGCGTTTGGACCGACAGCTACCTCATTAAAAGGGTCCGTCCTGGAATCGACCGTGTGCTGTACTTCCTACCTCTAGCTGTTATTATTGTTTTAAGCATACAGTATGGGTAAGACGGCAAAGCATGTCAGAACCCTTGACGTTCGGAATGTCTTTTTCCTTGTTTTAATTAGCAACTCTTTGGTGTGTTATCGCCATCTATTGGCTAGGAGTGACTGTGAAACGCAAGCTTTCTGTCCTATTATGCCATATTGAGTTGTGAGCATTGAAGTCACCACACCATATCGCCCTTTTATTTAAATGTAATATGATTTCACCCAGTAAATATACAGATAATTTCTTACATGGGTTGTAAAAATTTATCAGCTTAAATTTACCTTCTTTTGTCCATAATTCAATAGTAATATATGCAAGTGTTTTTCCCTTTGCTAGTAGTTTATACTGCAACCCTCTCTTTAAAAGAATTATACATCTACCTCCATTACCCTCCTCTCTATCCCTTTGAATACTATGATAACCATTAAAAAGTCTAATGTAGGTTTTAGCCAGGTTTCCTGAATACATATAAGTTCAGGTTTTATTTTTAACTTTTATCTAAATCCTTTTAACTCTTAACTATTTCCTATTCAACTTTTAGCATTCCATTGTAATATTAACATACTGTTCAGTCATCTGAACCTGGATGTTTGCCATCTGCTTCAAGTTTTTGTTTGATCTGTTCCCAAGAGATATTCCTCATCCCTAGAATATTTTCAGCTCCTTTTACAATGATCTTGATTTTTTCAGTTTCCTGTTTGACCTGGTCCGTACAATTAATTACATATGTAATGAATAAAATCACTTTATCAAAATCTATAGAGTTACTTATTACTGTTGCTCTGGTTCTTTCCTCAGGATTTGAATGTCACCCATGTTTTTTATGTAGTTCCTGAACCTTCTTTACTGCTTCAGCATAGCTTAAGTTGTTTGTTGATTTAACCTAGTGAACCTCAACTGCTCTTTTCCTGACCTAACTATGGAAGCAAATCGTTACCATATTTCAAATGAAAAAGCATTTTCAGAAATGCTTTTTCATTTTAAGAATGTCGCTGCATTTTTTGACTCATAAATGAAATTATTAATCAATCATCCGATTTGCATTTTAATTTTCTTCTTCAACACTGCTCATCCTTTTACCTAATTAAAATGAAAAAGAAATGTAACGATCTTGGTTCTGTTGTTTTTCTCTAAGTTTTCAGTTTCAAGTTTATCCAGGTTTTTCCTTGTTTTCTAGCTTTATTTTTGTGTCTAGATTCATTTAAGTTGCTTAGGTTTTTCTGTCTGTCCTCTGTTGCCCCCTTGTGTTCTTTTCCCTTGGCTTCCTCATCAGCTCTAGTCACACCTGCTCCTTAACAGCTCATTAGTCCTACCTTTGTTCAGTCAGCCATAAATTCAGTCCCTCTGCAGTCCCTGTTTGCTGGTTCCTCGTCTTACTTTTTTCTCACCCTGGCTCCTTGATGGTTTCCCCCTGATGTCTCCATGGTTCTGGTTTGTGTTTGATTTTTATGTTGGATTTTTGGATTCGTTTTTTGCTGCCTGTTCTTCCATTAAACCTTTTAAGAACTCACCCCTCCCTGTTAGCCTCTGCATTTGGTTCCTCACAAAAAATACATTTGAGATTTATTTTTTCAAAATGTACCCCAGCAAACACATACCAAAATTCAATTTGAAATGTAAAATTTGAAAATGAAAAAGCATTTCCAGAAAGAATTAGGCTGCATTACTTGACAAATAAAATTAGTGATCAATCATCATGAAAATTCATGTGCTGAAAATATTATTGTTTATGGTTAAACAGGCGCTGTGGAACACTGACAAGAAAAAGCCTGTTGATTACTATTTTCTATGTGAAAGCAGGTATGTGATATTTTATTATTCTTGTGGGATTATTGTGTTTTCTTATTTATGTACTGTTTAAGGGTATTATGACCCTGTTTAGGCTTAATTATTAATAATTGCTCCAATAATTTCTAGTTTGTAAGGTAGATGTGTTATTTTAAGTTGTGCTCTGTTTGATTCCATGGGAGAAGGCGATGTGGAACACTGACAAGAAAAAGCCTGTTGATTAGTTCAATCAGTTTATTTATATAGCGCCAATTAACAACACAAGTCATCTCAAGGCACTTTACAGTTCACCGGATCATACAGTCAAATTAATTCAAAGTTTTCCATCTAAGGAAAACCAGTTGATTGAATTGACTCATTAAATCGAATGCAATCCCTCACAAGCATGCTTATAGCGACAGTGGAGAGGAAAAACTCCCCCTTTTGTTTTTTTATTTTATTTTTTTTATTTTTAACAACTTGTACAAAGTTAAAATCTTATGTCTCCACCAACATATATCGTCTGCATTACAACTTCACATCGAAAGGTGAGTCAGTGGATGTTCTAACAAATGTAGTAATGAATACATGATAACAGATCAAAATCAACAGAGGCATAACAGAAAAGTAAATCCCCCCCTGAGGTAAGACAGTCCACACATTCATAAGCATCATGGTATTTTACATCGACTCACAGATACACACTAATGCAAAACTGTAGATGTGTCACTGATTTAATAATGGTAAAACAGCTCTCCATATGGTATTAAAGACCGTTTTTTGAAGCCTTAGGGAATGCGTTATTCCTTCCATCAAGTGAATGTCCCTAACTTTTTGTATCCATGTGTTGTATGTAGGAGGCTCTGGCTTCAGCCATCTGATGGTTATGCATTTCAATGCTGCTGTTAGCAAGATTCTTAAAAGATATCTATCCCCCTTCTTGTCTATTCCATCGGGAATTTCTCCCAAAATTGCCACCAAGGGAGTTTTTGGGGCATTCCTCCTGAAAATTACTTTTAAGAGTTTCAAAGATGTCCTCCCGGAATACGCTTAGATTGGGACAAGACCGGAAAAAGTGCGTATGATTTGCATTCTGTGTTCCGCAGTTTCTCCAACATTAACTGGGTTGTGTTGGGCCAATTTTACTGGTTATTGTTGGCGTTCTGAAGAACCGGACTATTACTTTCCATTTGAATTCTCTCCATGTGTTAGAATTTGTTGTTAATTGTGCTTGGGTACATACGGTAGTTCTTCCCATGTGTCCCCTTCTATTGACTCCTGCAGTTCAGTCTCCCATTTATGCTTTATGTATATAGAATCATGCCCATTTGTAGATAGAAACAGGTCATATATTTTACTAATTACTTTATTGTTTCCTTTTCCTCTTTGTATGTCCATTAGGAAATTTTCTATAGGTGTAAATTCACTGAGTTTGCTCCAATTATTGTGTGTCGTTACGAAGGTTCTAAGCTGTAAGTATCTATAGAAGTCGGTCTTAGGGAGACCAAATTCACTTTTCATCTGCTCAAAAGTTTTGAAGTTTCCCCCTTTAATGAATTGATGGATATGAGATAGACCGTAATTAGACCAGTTTTTGAACCCGTAATCTAAATTGTTTAGTGTAAATGTCTTTATAAATCCTACATTTCATAAAAGTTAAATCTGTTTTGATAACTTAAAAGCTGATTGTATTTTGTTCCAGACTTTGAGGGTGTTTTTTTGTCCAGGTTGTCATTTCCTTTGCAGGGGCATCTAAGAAAGGTAATGTTTGCAGTGGCACTGAGCACCTGCTTACCTCTATTTCCAACCAACGAGTATCTGCACTATTCTGTAGCCATGCTAATAGGGGTTTAAGTTGTGCTGCCCAGCAATAAAATTTTAGGTTTGGAAGTTTGAGTCCCCCCTTGGGTTTACGTAGCTGTAGAGTTTTCAGTCTGATTCTAGGCCGCTTTTTTTGCCAAATGAATCCAGTTATCACTATCTAGGGTGTCAAAAGTAGATTTGGGAATTTTTTCTCCAGGTCATTTTTGTTGACTTGTAGAAGTTTGCGATAGTTTGCCTCATAGAGGTCACACAGAGATGAAGGTATTTGAATACCCTGATATCTGATACCGTTCTTGGGCCATTTGAATCTACTCTGTACTTTTAGAGTCTGGGATTGTGCCATTTATATCCATAGCTTCTGTTTTTTCTATATTGATTTTGTAGCCTGAGTAAAGTCCATATTCAGAGATGAGTTGTTTTAGATGGGGGGATTGTTGATTTAGGTTCTGTCAAGTACAATAATACATCATCAGCATATAATGGAATTTTGTGTATTGATTTCTATATCTTTAATATTAGCATTATCTCTAATGATTTGAGTTAATGGTTTAATGCTAATGGCGAACAAACAGCGGTGAGAGTGGGCACCCCTGTCTGCACCCCCATTTTTAAGAGGATCTTGTAGATCTGAAGCCATTAACTTTAACTGCTGCCTGTGGAGAGGAGTAAAGTGTTTGCACCCAGTCAACAAAATGTGGACCAATTCCAAAACGTTTCAGGGTATGAATTAAATATTTCCAGAAGGCTCTATCAAATGCTTTTTGGGCATCTAGGGATATGATTGCTGATTCAGTCTCTCTCTCTTTTTGAACGCTTGTTTGGTTTAGTAAGCATCTTAAATTATCAGCATAGTACCTGCCTACAATAAATCCTGTCTGATCGTGGTGTATGATTTGTTTAGTCGTCTTGTTAGGCTTGCTGTGAGTATGCGTGAATCTGTATTCAATGGTGATATAGGTCTATAGGACTGCAGGATCCTTGCCCGCTTTGTGGATTACTACTATTGTGGCTTCTGTCCAAGATGGTGCCATAGTTTTGGATTTTAAAGCATGATGATATGCTTTTAAGAGCAAGGGGGCCAGGAGATCTATAAAAGTTTTATGAAAGTCATTGGTAAATCCATCCGGGCCTGGACTTTTGTTGTTCTTGAGTGATTTAATTATCTGTTTAATCTCCCATTCCTCAATCGGTCGATCTAATTCCAGTGCCATCTCATCCGTTAAATGGTTTAATTTTATGTTATTTAAAAAATCTGTGAGATCTTGGTCATTACTACAGGTATCCTTGTTTGTATATAGTAATTTGTAAAATTTTGCAAAGGTCTCTGTTATTTTATCAGGACTTGTCTCAACAGTCTCTTGGGATTTTATTTTTTAATGAACAATATTGGAGGACTGTTGTTTCTTCAGTCTAAATGCAAATAACCTACTAGCCTTTTGGCCATGTTCATAATATTTTTGATTAGTGAACCTCAAGT